CGCTGCTTGGAGGATTTCGCGAGCTCTTGCCCACACGGGTGCTGCACTCGGCTGATCGTTTTCGAGCGGCCGCTGCATCACACGTTGTGGTCCAAATTTTTGTTTCCGATTGTGAATGGTGGGAGTCAGAGACACTCTCTGTCAATATCTGTTTGCGTGTTCACACACTGGACACCAAACAACCCTGAACTATCCGCTGCTTGGAGGAATTTCGCGAGCTCTTGCCCACACGGGTGCTGCACTAGGCTGATCGTTTTCGAGCGGCCGCTGCATCACACGTTGTGGTCCAAATTTTTGTTTCCGATTGTGAATGGTGGGAGTCAGAGACACTCTCTGTCAATATCTGTTTGCGTGTTCACACACTGGACACCAAACAACCCTGAACTATCCGCTGCTTGGAGGATTTTCGCGAGCTCTTGCCCACACGGGTGCTGCACTCGGCTGATCGTTTTCGAGCGGCCGCTGCATCACACGTTGTGGTCCAAATTTTTGTTTCCAATTATGAATGGTGGGAGTCAGAGGCACTCTCTGTCAATATCTGTTTGCGTGTTCATACACTGGACACCAAACAACCCTGAACTATCCGCTGCTTGGAGGAATTTCGCGAGCTCTTGCCCACACGGGTGCTGCACTAGGCTGATCGTTTTCGAGCGGCTGCTGCATCACACGTTGTGGTCCAAATTTTTGTTTCCAATTATGAATGGTGGGAGTCAGAGACACTCTCTGTCAATATCTGTTTGCGTGTTCACACACTGGACACCAAACAACCCTGAACTATCCGCTGCTTGGAGGAATTTCGCGAGCTCTTCCCCACACGGGTGCTGCACTCGGCTGATCGTTTTCGAGCGGCTGCTGCATCACACGTTGTGGTCCAAATTTTTGTTTCCGATTGTGAATGGTGGGAGTCAGAGGCACTCTCTGTCAATATCTGTTTGCGTGTTCACACACTGGACACCAAACAACCCTGAACTATCCGCTGCTTGGAGGAATTTCGCGAGCTCTTGCCCACACGGGTGCTGCACTCGGCTGATCGTTTTCGAGCGGCCGCTGCATCACACGTTGTGGTCCAAGTTTTTGTTTCCGATTATGAATGGTGGGAGTCAGAGACACTCTCTGTCAATATCTGTTTGCGTGTTCACACACTGGACACCAAACAACCCTGAACTATCCGCTGCTTGGAGGATTTTCGCGAGCTCTTGCCCACACGGGTGCTGCACTCGGCTGATCGTTTTCGAGCGGCTGCTGCATCAAACTTTGTGGAATAGCATGGCCTAAGAATGGGACGGACGATTATTTTTATTTTTTATTCTCCCCGAAAGCTTTTCTTTTTTTTTTTTTTTTTTGGGGGGGGGGGGGGGCGGGGGGATTTTGTTTTATTTTCTCCAGGGTTGAAACGTTGGATATCATGTTTTTGTTTTTGTTGGGTGGTTTATTAGGAGCTTGTGAAGGGAGCGATCGCGGGAGAGCCGGCATTCTTTATCAACGTTTTTCCTCGTGAAGGGGTGCGTTTCTTTAGGACGTCTTTCTGTCTTATGATTTTTTGGAAAAAAACGACTTTAAAAGTTGGGGGAGCGATGGCGGCCATGTCATGTTTCATTTTTTAATTTTTAATTTGCAGGCGCGGTGGGGTTGGTTTAAGGAAATGGCGTTGGTTCCTCACACCGCCTCCGAGCGGAACGATGTTGATCCCTATGTTTTCGTCATGGCGCGCCAACATGGCGCTTTCCAGGCGCAACTCACCTTTATTGATGAAAGCGGGCCGTCGGACGCGACGGAAACGGCGCCCACCTCCAAGACAGGCTTACGTTCGGTTTTGGGAAGCGTCTCCGAGCATTGGGAGGATTCGAGCCTTGAAGGGCATCCGGCAAGCCCCAGCGCCTCAAGTACCGAATTTTGAAACCGAAGCGCTTCTGACCATTGTGTGGGTGCGGCCCGGGGGGCGCGTGGCAAGGACTCATCATCGCTGAAAGGGAGCGGCCGAGCACGAAATACGCCCACGCCGCCGTGGACGTGCAGGATCGAAGCGCTCAGCTTAATTCGCAGGTGGAAGAGGCGCATAACAACCTATCGGTGCGCGAATCTGACATTGCGGTCTCCGGCGGCCTTCTTGCAGAAAGAGAATGCGCGCTCGCTGGACGCGAACAGCAGTTGGAGGCGACCCGCGCCCAACCACAGGAGCGAGAGGCACGCATTAGTGCTAAAGAGGCGCAGCGAGCCGCGTGGGAGGCGGAGACGGCGAGCCGTGAAGAAGCCCCCGCCACTCGGAGAGGTCCTACAGATGGACCTGTCGCGCGTCAAAATATGGCCGAAGATGGTGATATTAAACAACTACTTCGAAAGCATCGCTTGATGGCTGTGGGCGCGTCGTCACGCACGGCCCAACGAACTCCGGCGCGAGAGAGACGGCAGGTTATTCCCCAGACGTCTCAGGGCAATTTTGGGTGACCACATTTCTATCCCTTGACGCCTTTGCCTTCCCGCACTTCTCTTTGGACGATCGTTCCGCTACGGAAAAGAGGGACGAAATTTTCGCGTATTCGGCGTCACCACTTGGGCCCCGCGTATATGGGATGAGGGCGTTTCCGGAGTCTTTGTCGACTTCGGGGGCGCGCAATTATTGGAAACGGGCGGACGACCAGGCTCAACTTTTATTTGACAGTTTGGTTGCGTGGATCGGTGCGCTGGAAGCGGAGCGGGATCCCACCGATCGCTTCATGAATTTTGGAAGGATCTTACTGCAGGCATTCCGGATGCAGCTCATGATGGCATCCGACCCCGGCTTCCCGCTCTTCAACATTCTCGTCCGTCTTTACACCGCTGTTCACCAGACGGACACCTTTGCGAGGGCAACCCAGATTTCGTTGGAACGACGAGGGACGCAAATATCGTTGCGATGTCAGTTACGTCGTGTTTATGGACACGTAACATCTAAAAGCAACGTCCGAAACGCAACCGGAGGAAGTTACTCGCAGCGCGGACGGCCGTCAAGAAACAGCGAGGGACTGCTTGCTGCTTCTTATGAAAGCGGACGACGGCGGCTTCATTCATTCCACCACCTCCCACCATTACGCACAGAAGTCGCACCGCACCGCCGATGCTCCATCCGATATTTCAGATGGCTCAACGCAATCGACGAGAAGGGCAATGGAGCTTATCCGCCAACGACGCTCGACTGTGGTACGGCGAATCACCGACATCTCCGTTTTGGGCCGGCCATATGAGGAGAGCGAACGAGGTCGCTCGAGAGATGTGGGCGCCGCCAACGTGGGTGCAGAGAATGTCCCTAGCGGGGCAATTCACAACCTTTTGCCGCACGCACGAACGCACGATCAACGAGGAGAGCTGTGCGGCCTTTTTTCTGGCGATATGAGATGTGGCGCCGTCGACCCGACTGCAGTACGCCAGGATGCTGGTGGTCCATGTTGCAAATGGATCGAACCCCGTTGGACATGATGTTTTCGGGGTTACAAAAATTGCGGCGCGATGGGAGACGTAGCAGGCGCGCCCCGTAACGAAGGAAGAGATGAATCAGGTTATCCGCAGCCGGACCGATTGAAGGGAACGTGTTGTTTTTCGACTTGCGTGGATAACGGCGAGTCGTTTGTTTGAGATTGCATCCTTGACACCCAACAACCTTACGATGGAACCGGACAGGACCATAATTTTGGATTGGTCCGTGGCGCCAAAGACGGCGAGGGCGGATCCCCACTGCGCCTCGCGGTTCTTGAGGATACGAGGGCAGGACGCCTTCGACATTATAAAGCTATTCAGGACACTTCAAGAAAGCGAAAAGCTCACGAACCTTGCGACCGCCAAAGTCGAGCGAGCTCTGGCTCCTTGGGGTGCCACGGCGCATTTCATAAAACGCGGTGCGTTGAGGCACGCTGCTCCAATCGTGGAGACATACAATTTGGACCCACATGTGATCTCGCAGTTGGCGAAGCACGTCGATCCGTTCGACCTTCCCCAGAATACTGTTCGATATGTGGAAGTACACCACAATGCTGATCCAGGTGTCGTCGCTGGTCGCATTGATGTGAAGGGAGACACTGCGGAAGGGCAGGAACCCTGGTTGAGAGCAGAGGAGCGTTTTTTTCATGATTTTTAATCATCATGCTGCTACAATAACGACAAGGACGCGTCTGGCCACTCCACAAGATGAACACGCTACCCCGTTACAGCGAGTCAACGTGACCGTATTGAATACCAAAGTGGATCATGAGTCGGTTGAACCCGACTACCTTGGAGAGTCTCATGCAAGTTTGGGGACTCGTCGGGCGTTCCCCTTTCCCTCCGTCTTCCTCCGGTAAGGCGCGCGAAGGCTCACGGAGGATTCCAACCGCTGACGCGCGTTTGTTACGAAAGGCGGGAATAATCGAGGACGCTTCGTCCACAATAACGGGCGGATGGATAATACCTTTTTCGGTTGTGGAGGAGAAAACCGCCGGTTTACGACGACGATGGATCGCGTGGCCACGCGACAAGAACGGAGACGACCCTTATGAGGCGAATGTTCCTCCTTTGCACATTTCCCATTATTTGCCGCCTGTGATGGCTGAGGCCGCTTCCTGCCTGGATGTAAAGGCATCCTTTTTTCAAGTCTCTTTACCGCGGGAGACTCGGCATCTCTTTCGATGCCGCGTGGAGGACGGCACGCTGGTGGAGCTCACACGGCTCCCAATGGGATAAAAGGCCAGCCCAGAAATCCTCCAGGTTATTATTGCTTCGACAATTGCGGGGGTGACGACGGTGGTTCGCCGCCTCTGGGCCGCACCTCCATTGGTGCGTATCGACGTTTGGATCGGTAATATACGCATTGCAGGGTCGAAAAGCGACGCGACATTGTGGGAAGCCCAAGTGCTTCGTAATGCGGACAGTTGTCACGCCACGATGGGGGAGGACCGCGAATCGGGCGCCACGCAGTACACCTTTCTGGGGATGCAGTTTGGTCATGCTCACCAGGCGGTATCACTGAGTGAGAAGTTTTTCCGGTCTGTACGCGCCATGCCGGCACTCAATTCTTTAACCATCGCGGAAATGGAGGTTATGGCGTCACGCTTTTTATATGCGGCGGCCATTTTGGGCAGGCGCCTGTGTGCCTACTACTTTCTCATCAAGGCAGTGCGACGGCGATGATTGGCACTTAACCAAGGGATTGTGCTGGAGACATCCCCGGCGAACCTTCCGCCGTCAGCGGTTGGTTTGGATGAGAGACTACGACACATCATCGAGAACAATCGTAAGCGAATCATCAAGCCCACGGAAAAGGCATCGGCCGCCATCATCGCGGATGCATCGCTCCAGGGATGGAGAGCCGTTTTTATTCCAGACTCCGGCGACGTTAAAATTGCCGGAGGAAAAGTGGAAGAGGAGGCCTTTTCTTATCATGCAGGCCGAGGTGCGCGCGGTACGCTTGGCCTTATCGGCCTTTTCCGCCATCTTGCCATCCACCATGGACGTTTGGGTGGACAGTACTTCGCTGCAAGGAGCGGCGAATAAAGGCAGCTCAAAATCGCACGCCATGACGTGGGAGCTGCGACGGATACATGGGTTTTTGGACTCTCGCGGAATAAAGGCATCCTTTGTCTACGGACGTTCTGCGGAAAACCCCGCAGACGGCATATCACGCGGTCGTGTGTTTACACTTCAGGACTTGGCGAAGGGGTGGAACTTGCGAAGGGGAGCGGCGGGGTCTTGTGGCTGGAGGACCTCAAAGTCTGCCAGCTAGTAAGTAATAATATTCGGATCCTAACCGAGGACAAAGCACCATGCTAGTGGTCCACAGAATTCTGTATATATTGAATGAAAAGAAAACATTGAAGCAATTAACTAACGAACCTTTTTTCCTAACTTGTTTGGTTTCCATAGATTATTTCAGGATCCGGCCAGCTGCCCAGAAGATTATTCCCTGTTAAATTTCACGACAAACGCAATACGATAATTTCCCCAATTATTTTCTCAACTTTCTGCCCTATCCCTTTTCTACAAGATTATTGTATTCTCATTTCTCGGATTTTACTTCAAAAATCAGTTGTCAACACAAATTGGTATTGGTGTACCTTTCCTTCCCAGAACGCCACAATTATTTTTTTCCGCGTCGGTTTTATTATTAGAATCGACGTAAAGGCATTTCTGCCGTTTTTTCATCGGCTTGCTGGCTGCGTGTTGTATATAAATCATATCCCACGACATGTCTCGGGAGAATTCGTCCCAATCATCAAAATATGCCGCCAGGCACTCAGTGAACTGCTTCACAGTGCTGGCGGTAGTGTGAT